TTGTCTACTGCACAGCCAGGTGATTACGTCTCGTATATCTCTTATGAAATAGAAAGTCTCTGATCACCAAATCCGTATAGGTCATAGTGAGACATTTCTCAGAAATACTACTCCGGTATGCGGCACAGTTTGATACTTCTATGTACACTGACTCACTGACCCGTAGGGTTTTCTTTATTTTGTAGTACTACATGTGTGCAAGAATAAATAAAATGTGGTCGTCTCCGTAGAATTTTGAGCTGTTCCAATTTGTACTAGATCTGCAATATTTATGTATGTTCAGTTTTTGTTATTTTTTAATTCAGGTTGGGAGAGTATTAATATTGATAGTAGTTGTGGTTCTGGTTGGAGTAATTTATCATACCACCTCATTTAAGGATATCTGTGTCTGGCTCAATCAAGTGTCATATCATTTCTTTCAGGCTTACAAGCTCAGCGGTTCGTAGAAATCTGCACTTTTTAGTTAAGTGGTTAGTGTTTAGATATTTTTGTGATAGATCATCAAGACATTCTGGCTTTTCTTGATTAAATGTTCTGTTTTCTGTAATTTAAGATTCACAATGGATGATTGAGAATGATAAAGCTAAGCCGGATACAAGTGTGGAAGTACAAAGGCAGGATGCTCTTGTTGTTGGTCCTGCAATTACAATTGTTGGCATGTTTGTAAGATGCAAAATGAGATCTCCGCCATGAATTTTTGAGACCTCCACCCTCGTCCCACCAGCGAATTGGATGCAATGGTGGGCTGGCATGCCAAAATTTTAGAGCCCGTCCAAACAAGATGTGACACTTCAGTAGACTCCAATAGTTCAGCTCAGAAGGTGAGGGATTTAATCTGAGCAGCCCTTATGAACATGACCATCTTTGCCTGAATCAGAATGGTGTCATGTTTTGGCAAGCCAAGTCCTTCCTAGTGCTCAACTTTAGTTCGTTAAAATAGTTATTATCGATTTTAATCCACTCAGGAAGAATGTGGACATGCGTCTGAAGAGTAATAACACGAATGACACAAAGCAGCGATGCTAATGCTGAATAGATCCTTTTTTCGCGTCTAAACCTGATGGACAGTGCAGCCTATCCAAAAAAATGATGCCGTAACTTCACATCGCAGTCTCACTTTTCTTACTGTGCTTTTTGGGCGCATGGACAGATTGTCTTGGCATAATCTTACTTCATAGCCAACCAAATCTTACCTCACCTCCCTTCTCTCGTTGTGATGTTTCCACAGATTCTGTAGAGGATAATCTTACCTCACAAGCCTTCTATTTCCTACGTGGATGCATGCTGGCTTGACTCATTGCGTGATGGATTGGGGTGAGGAATAAGAATTCCTTACCCAGGGTGACGAATAGCGCGACCATTGCTTGGAATATATATATATAAACGATATATATATATATAAATATATATATATATATATATGTCGTTTATCCTGCGCGCTGGCTAGGCTGCGCGCATTGCTGCCACAGGAAGTTAGCCATACTGCCTTCCGCCTATTGAAAGCATCGTAACGGTAGAAAAAAGGTTACTACACATGCCTTTGCTTGGAATAACTACCTTTTTTTCTTGTGATGATAGTAAAATCATCAGAGAATATAGTAACCAAGTTAATCTGGTTACTGCTGCACCTGTAGCTTCTCTGTCTGTCACATAATTATGGTGTATAGTAATAAGCTATGGAAATATAGTAACAATATTAATTGGGTTACTGCTCACGCATCATTTTTCATTTTTTATCTTTCAAGTGTACTTTACAACGAAAAGAGCAAAGTAGTAATTTGTTACTACATATCAGCGTGTTTTTTGCTAGGTTTAACAAATGCCACGAGCCATCTCTATTACTCCCTCCGTTCCTAAATATTTGTCTTTCTAGACATTTCAAATAACTACTACATACGGATGTATGTAGACATATTTTAGAGTGTAGATTCACTCATTTTGCTCCGTATGTAGTCACTTGTTGAAATGCCTAGAAAGACAAGTATTTAGGAACGGAGGGAGTATTTGGTAACCATCCTTTTTACTCCTAACAATTTGAGAGCAAATCATATGTAGTAATTCATTGCCACATATAACATGGTTTTACTAGGAGTACGAGCCGAGGGATTCATTGCTTTCTAATCACATGTAGTAATTCATTACCATCTATTCTATCCATATTACTGCTAACAATTTGAGAGCAAAACACATGTAGTAATTCATTACTACATGTAAGCAACATGAGCCGACAGATTCATTGCTTGGCAAAGCACATGTAGTAATTCATTACCATCTATATGGCTCTATTACTGTCAATGATTAAAGAGCTTAGAATAAAGACGTCGCGGACCACATATGGTAACCAAATTAAATACTTTACTTTTTTCTTCACAGAGTTTTACGCTCAGTTAATTAGCGGTGGAGAGGCTCCTACGCGAAGTGCCTACCTAATTAGGACCGGAGTGTACGCAAAGGCATTCTGCGCGCACGCACACAATAGCGCCACCGTATATATACATATATATATATATATATATATATATAGTGTATAAAGTGTATAATACAAGATACAATGACATGTACAGAGGCTACGTATAATACTGGCTAACACAGACGATTTGGGCATGTCTGAAAACTCTGACACAATCCCTCAGAAAAGGATAACCTATGCCGCATCTACATCCGGGTTAGCATATGCCAATGAATGTGATCCTATCCTATACCATTATTCTAAGATAACCTATGCCGCAAAGGCATCCAGGCACATTCAGATGAAAGCGTGCTTGATAAAACCCCAGGCGATTAACAGGAGCAGATATAAGCAACACATTCAAAATGTGACAAGTCTGCCTATATCCCGCTGAAAGCATAAAGCAAGTCTTAAAACTACAGCCAACAGGATATACAAACTTCGGTTGACTAGCCAAACATGAAGCCGGGTGTAGGATGCTTCTCGGATCCCATGGCTTACTTACATCGACCTCTGAAACTCAAACCCAACTTATCTAGCTAGTCTTCTACGGCGCAAAGTTAGAAAAAGAAGAAGAAGAAGAAGACTGATGTTATGCAAACCCAGACAAGCTCTACACACTAGATTCTGAAGGACTGCCAGATTACAGCGGTTCTTACGGCTCCCCTCCTCGACTACACACTAGCCTACAGGTCAGCGGTCTCTGAAGCAGCACGAGAAAGGAAGCTAGCAGGTCAACCAAGCACAGGTCTGGTCCATCATCGGTTTACAATAGAGCGAATTATATGTACAAAGCAGGTCGACCGGTGGAATGCCGATGCCAATTGACTCCTCGATCCTCACCAGGGGCCGGTCAACGTTCTTCGCAAGCACTGCCGCTTCTTCCGTCCGAACTGATCCTTCATCTCAGGGGCCTGCTGTCAGTCAGATCAATTTCCCGTCAGTACAAGATTTTGGAAATTAACATCTCAAGTTCTATGAAATAGACTATTTCTGTGTGGGGCCATAGGACGACTCCTTGTGAGAAAAGATCGATATGTCATAAACTGATTCACATATGAAGATAGACAAGCTTTAATTTCACACATTTCATTCTTTATGTGATAGTTTGCATGAAATGGAACTTAAACCATGTAATTTAAATAAATATCTAAATACTCTTAGTAAATATGATGGCTGTGTGCATCGCTTGATGCAGAGGCCGGGGGTTATCCTCTTTTGCGGAAAAAAAACTCCTAGTAAATTTCACCTTTTAGAACCTAGATGTGATACTGAATGAATCTGTGATGAGGAATACCTCATTTAATTTTCTATTTCTAATTTAACAAAACATCTTTGCATTATTCTGCAATTTACACGATTAAAGAATTTGTAACAAGCTGAAGGCCCCTGTCAGGACCCCACCGACTTCGACACCACACATGTGTCAGGTCAAAAAACTTGTAAAATAATTTTGAGAATTCAGTTAAATCTCAGAAAAATAATGTCACCTGTTCTAACTCTGAATTTAGTAATTTTAACCTATTTGTAGAATGTCATTCTAAAGATCAACTTAGTGCTAACCCATTTGTGAAGTCATCGAAAAACATTGACATAGAAAGTACAGCTTATACTTGAGCAATTTCTTGGATTCACCATACAGAAAGGGGATATGCAGTTACTGATGTTATAAAAGCATGCTTAGTGCTGCAGCGTCTAACTCAGCATCCATTGGAAAATGGAAAAGGCATGCTTAGTACTGCCGCAACTAACTCAGCCATCCATTTTGTCGAAAAAACTCAGCCATCCATAAGAAAATGGAAAAGGCATGTTTTTTTTTTTGGAAAAGGCATGCTTAGTACCGCGATGTCTAACTCAGCCATCCATAAGAAAATGGAATGTACTAAACAATAGGCTAAATTGTTGATCTATACATAGAAATAGGAAAGTTTGGGATCGACGAGAGACAATCAATTACCTCTCTTTTCTGCATTTCCAGTATCTCTGCCTGCATCATGATGAAAAGAAACGATTAGTGCCACGTTCACAATACAAGAGCTATTGATCTTGTTTTAAGTATGGTATTATAGTCCTATGGACGGAGATTTTGGTAGACATCAACGATATCTGATATAAGCTAGGAGAATAGGATCACTAAGTCACAACAACATGAATTGTGAGCATGATATCCTGCTTTTTGGTACTGCGACATGTATATAAAAGAGTGCCCCGTTATGCACGAACATATGCTACATTGCACGACCATATGCTACATTCTTGAGGTAACCGAAAACATATGGGGTGAAATTAGATGCAACACTTCTGAATACGAGACTACAGCCATCACCCTAAAATTTGATAAGGGAAGTTACTGCAACAACCTATTATTGTGAGACTGACAGGGGTTCAAAGAATATCAAAGGTTAATGCAAAAGAGACTGAATATACCACACTTGGGTTCAAAGAATGGAATGTTTCTGACAAACAGGTTTTACCAAGATAAAAAAGGAACAGGTCATGGTGAATGCTCCACAACACTCTGATGCCAACATGGACAAAACAAGCAAAATAGCTACCAGTGGGGTCTACAGGCTGAAACTATCCACTTCAGAGTGTATGCTATAAATCCTCCTTTACACAAAATGCAGTGAAGTAGCAGATTTAGCATGTCCAATGGCAGGGTTTGTAGAAAAGTTACCTGTTTCCTCACCAGTTCCTGGTTCAGGTCCTTGAGCTTCTGAACTTCAGCTTCCAACTCCATTGTATAAGCCTGTGCAGATAAGGAAATTGAATTGTTACTACCAAAACAGGAAACTCCAGCAGGCACAAGGAACACGAGGAGCAGTGACTCAGCTTTCAGAATGAACTACTGAAATGGAATTTCCATATATGATCATATCTCCAGCTCAACATGGCTTCAAGAGTAAGTAAGAATGCATAAATTGTGTAGAAGATGCTAAAAATACCTGCTTGCGGGCGCGGGACCTAGCGGCGGACTCCCTGTTCTTGATCATCCTCCTCTGCCTCCTCTCCACCACCTTCTCCACGCCGCCGCCAGTCCTCCTCCCCCTCACAATCCCCTCGAACGAGTACGGCATTGGTTCGGACGGCGATGACAGATCCTCGCTCCCCTTGCTGCCAGAATCAACCGGGTTGACCGCAGTTTGCACAACCAGAGGGGCGCCTCCCATACCAACTGCCCTCGGCATGAGCCCATTGCCCATGGCCAGATCCCCCATGGCGACCGGCGCGAACCCCAGCGCCGCCGCACCGGCGTCGTTGGCGCTCGGGAAGTTCCCGTAGAAGGAAGGGCCTTTAGGGACAACAGGGACCGGCCGCGGCTGCATGGGCGGGGGCGGCACTGCAGGAGCGGTGGGGATCTCTCGCACCACGCCGGCTTTGACCAGGAACTCCTCCAGGGTCATCTCCCCGAGCGTCGCCTGCCGATGGGGCTGCGGCTCGGCACCCTCCGGCCCCACCGGAAGCGGGTCATCGCGCACGAGGTTGCGCCACACCTCGTCGACCGTCTTGGCGCTGAGGGTCCGGGGCAGCGTGAGCGAGCCCTGGCCCTGCAGCGACGTGGGCGGCGGGCCGGCGCCCGCGCCCGCGCCCGAGGCGGAGGCAGCCATGGCCTGGCTCTCCTCGGCGGTCCAGATGCTCCGGAGCAGCTCGTCCATGTTCATGGAGCTGAAGTCCTTCCCGAGGTCGCTGCCTCCCACGCCGGCGCCCCCGCCGAGCGTGCTCTGGAACTCCTCGAACGTGAGGGAGTAGATGGACCCCTGCCTCGTCAGCGGCGCCCCCTCCGCCGGCCTGCGCTCCGAGGACGACCCGCCGTTGCTGCTCCTGAAGTCCATGATCCCCTCCGTCCCTCCCCACCTGTCCTCCTTGAGCATCAAACGGACACGGACACCAGGAGAGAATTCGCCTCAGGCCGCAGCGGGTCACATGCGTTTCCTGGAAAGGCCAGAGGCAGATGAGACAGACAGAGAGGGAGGGAGAAAGAGAGTGGTGGCCTGGTGGGTGAGAGGCGAGGCGAGGCGAGGAGGGTGGCGAGAGTGAGACCTGGCGACGACGGCGACGACGAGTTTGTTGCGGTGTGGGTGTGAAATGTGGGTAGCGCACAGCGCAGAGGATCCTGGTGAGGTCTGGCCGTCGTGGGCAGCGCAGTGGGGCGGGAGGGGGGCGCTCCTCCCTCCTCCGCCCCGGTGGTTAATACTACGTGGCGTGCTCCGGGGGCCTCGAGGGGGACCTGTGGGCCAACCAGCGGGCAACGCGTGGAGGCGCTGGCTCCGTCAGTTGCTGCGATGGCGGCTTTCGGACAAAAATATCCCCGAGGCCAGGGCGGCTCTGCACTCGTGGGGCCCCGCGCCCAGCCTCCCGCTGTTGGTGGTGGTTGGTGTCTCCCTTCACCGTGGTCCGACCTGCCGGGTTGGGTACAGCAAAATTACAGGGGGTTTTGTTCTTTACAAAAATGTGAATGTTTTGTTTTCTACTAGAACATCAATGTTTCTCTTCCAAAGAAGAGAACATCAATATTTCAGATGAAAAACCTTGGAGTAGTTTAACTAATAACCAAACTAAAAACCTATTTTGCCATTTTACAAGTCAGTAAATGGAAGCGGTGAATGGAATAAGAATAAAATGTTGTTGTCGGTGAACACTTGTGCATCGCTATCGACCGATCTAGTCCACTTAATGCACAACTTTTGTCAAATCCGTTGTGTACAATCTTCATTCTCTTTTCTACATGCGACAAACGGCCGAAAAAAAGATGTAGAAAACACTTGCGGAGACCCAAGTAACGACTCTTCCCAGGGTTTATGCCGCACAATGGAGTCACCATGGTTCACGCATGGGGCTGCCGGTTTTGCGTGGTTGGTGATGCAACCCTTCATCACAACTTTGCGTAAGGGAACCGCTAGCTCGACGAGGAAAACATGGCCGCTCTATCTATTTCTTCTTCGGTAGTTGAGTGACGCATGTCCTCCTGAACGTTTCGAAGAACGACTAGATAGACACGTCTTCAATGAGGCAACATTGATATGTCGTGAGGTACGTGTCATCTCTATCTCTTGAAATATTAGCGAGCAAACCGCTAACGTAAGTGTGTCTAGGGATTAGTCTCACGCGGACACTATGGGTCAATTCTACCTTCGGTTCACAACAAACTGACGTTTTGGTCATTGGCAAGGTCTTCCAATGTGACCTTGACCACCAAATTGTACTATAATATTTGAACATTTTGAAGAACGATCGGATGGACACATCTCCAATGCAGCAACATTGAATTGACGTGAGGTAACTGCCATCTCTATCTCTTGCAATACTGGCGAGCAAACACTAATGTAAATGTGTCTAGGGCCTAGTCTCATGCGGACGCTAGGGGGTCATCTATATCTGTAGGTCATGAAACTGACGTTTTGGATATTGCCGCGGTCTATCGATGTGACCTTGACCACCAAATTACACTATATATTTGGACGTTTCGAAGAACGATTAGATAGACAAGTCTTCAATGAGACAACATTGAATTGTTGTGAGGTACGTGTCATCTCTATCTCTTGCAATACTAGCAAGCAAACCGCTAACGTAAGTCTGTCTGGAGATTAGTCTCACACGGACGCTAGGGGGTCAATTCTGTCTTCGGTTCACAAGAAACTGACGTTTTGGTTATTGGCAACATATTCCAATGTGACCTTGACCACCAAATTGTAATATAATATTTGAACGTTTCGAAGAACAACCGGATAGACACATCTCCAATGTGGCAACATTGAATTGTCGTGAGGTATCTGCCGGCTGTATCTCTTGTAATACTGGCGAGCAGACACTAAATGTGCCTAGGGCTTAGTCTCATGCGGATGCTAGGGAGTCCTTTCTACCTTTGGGTCACAAGAAACTGGCATTTTGGACATTGGCGCGGTCTATTGATGTGACCTTGACCACCAAATTGCACTATAATATTTGGACATTTCAAAGAACGACTGGATAGACACATCTCTAATGAGACAACATTGAATTGCCGTGAGGTACGTGCCATCTCTATATCTTGCAAGACTAGCAAGCAAACCGCTAATTTTAGTCTTCTAGGGATTAGTCTCATGTGGATGCTAGGGAGTTCTTTCTACCCCCGGTTTACAAGAAACTGGCATTTTGGACATTGCAATGCGACCTTGACCACCAAATCGTACTATAATATTTGAATGTTTCGAAGAATGATCGAATAGACACATCTCTAATGGGGCAACACTGAATTGTCGTGAGGTAACTGGTATCTCTATCTCTTGCAATACTGGCGAGCAAACCACTAACGTATCTGTGTCCAGAGCTTAGTCTCATGAAGATGCTAGGGGGTCCTTTCTACCTCTGGATCACAATAAACTAACGTTTAGGACATTGGCATGGTATTTTGACGTGACCTTGACCACCATATTGTGTTATAATATTTGGATGTTTCAAAGAGCGACTACATAGACACATATCCAATGAGGTAAAATTGAATTGTAGTGAGGTACGGGGCACCTCTATCTCTTGTGATACTAGCGAGCAAACACTACTAGGGAGCGCAGGTTTAGAGGCTAGCAGTAGCGCGGGGGCCTGCGCTACAGCTAACTCTTTGCAGTAGCGCAGGTGCGTCTCCACGCTACTGCTAAGTCAGTTATCAATAGCGTAGGATTGCACCCGCGCTACCGCTAAGTACTAGCAGTGTGTGCCTTTACCCCGTGCTACTACTATTCATCTGTATTTTATTTCTTTTGTTTTATACTATATTTATACACCGTTATACAAATTTTGATATAATAGAAATTAAGAGATTGTTATATCATTATGATCATGATGAGTTATTATATCGGTGGATGAAAGAAACGTGGATTAGATTCAATTGGATGGATCCAAAGTGATCAAGTTTGGATTAGTAGGATCGTCCTACTAATCCAGACCCGATCACTTTCGATCCATCCACTTGAATCTAATCCATTTTTCTTCAACCCAATGATATAATAACTCATCATGATCATAATAACAACTCATCATCATAATAACAAGTCCTCCTCATTGAGGGAGTCCTGGATTAGGGGGTCTCCGGACAGCCGGACTATATCCTTTGGCCGGACTGTTGGGCTATGAAGATACAAGATTGAAGACTTCGTTCCGTGTCCGGATGGGACTCTACTTGGCGTGGAAGGCAAGCTAGGCAATACGGATATGTATATCTCCTTCTTTATAACCGACCTTGTGTAACCCTAGCCTCCTCCGGTGTCTATACAAACCGGAGGGTTTTAGTCCGTAGGACAACATACAATCATACCATAGGCTAGCTTCTAGGGTTTAGCCTCTCCGATCTCGTGGTAGATCAACTCTTGTACTATTCGTATTATCAAGAATAATCAAGCAGGACGTAGGGTTTTACCTCCATCAAGAGGGCCCGAACCTGGGTAAAACATCGTGTCCCCTGCCTCCTATTACCATCCGCCTTAGACGCACAGTTCGGGACCCCCTACCCGAGATCCGCCGGTTTTGACACCGACATTGGTGCTTTCATTGAGAGTTCCTCTGTGTCGTCGCCATTAGGCTTGATGGCTCCTTCGATCATCGATAGCGATGCAGTTCAGGGTGAGACTTTTCTCCCCGGACAGATCTTTGTATTCGGCGGCTTCGCACTCCAGGCCAACTCGCTTGGCCATCTGGAGCAGATCGAGAGTTACGCCCCTGGCCATCAGGTCAGGTTTGGAAGCTTAAACTACACGGCCGATATCCGCCGAGACTTGATCTTCGACGGATTCGAGCCCCTGCTTAGTGCGCCATGCGGTCACGATGAGCATGATTTAGCTCTGCCATCAGACAGTGTGCAGGAGATCGCGCCGACAACTGCTCTGACTCTCAATTCAGAACCAGTTGCGCCATCCATGGACGGGTGGATAGACCCCGCCACGGAGGCCGCACCCTCAGCGGCGATCGAGCCGAATATCGACCTTACCCTTCAAGAGAGCCGTGATGCCACATTACCGGATCCTTCCTCAGCCACGGACTCTGAACCGCCTGCGCCCGTGCCTATCGAATCCGACTGGGCGCCGATCATGGAGTTTACCTCCGCGGATATCTTTCAGCACTCGCCCTTCGGCGACATACTGAACTCACTAAGGTCTCTCTCCTTGTCAGGAGAGTCCTGGCCGAACTATGTCCGGTAGGATTGGGGTGCGAATGACGAAGAAATTCGCCGCCCACCCACCACCCACTTAGTAGCCATTGTCGACGATTTGACCGACATGCTCGACCTCGACTCCGAAGACATCGACGGTATGGACGACGATGCAGGAGACGAACAGGAACCACTGCCCATAGGGCACTGGACGCACACTTCATCATATGATGTATACATGAAGGACACACCCAAAGAAAACGACGACGAGGAACGGAAGGACGCAACGAAGGGTGGTTCCCTCGAGAAGTAGTCAAAGTGGCGGCGTAAGCACCGCTCCAAACCCCGCCTCGACAGAAACAACGATCATATAGACCCAACGATAGAGCAGGGTGAACCATCGCCCGACCAGGGAAACACGGAGAATCAAACCGAACAACCCGACTCTGTCGAAGATAACAGTCCGGACGACATCACACCGGACAGGCGCCCTGAGCAACAGAATGCCCATCAAGGGCTTGTTGCCACTGCGAGGAGTCTGAAAAAGCAGAAGCAAAGGCTCAGGGCTGCACAAGACACACTCAGAATCAGATGGAGTGGAGTACTCAACACTGCAGCGAAGTACGGCGGTAATCGCCACACCAAGAGCTACCCGAAGCGAAAGTTGCTACCCGAATTCGACGAGGAGGCCTTAGATCCCCCACAATCAGAAAACAAAACGGCCATTCGGTCGGATAGACAACCTCGTGGGCA